TGTATAAAGTCATAATCAGGTAATGCCATCCACGTGTTCCATTACTCTTTCGTGTCTAAGCTAATAGGAGTTGCCAGGTAGCTAATTTCGCCCGATTATTGCGAATTTAAACCTACATATGGCATATAAGACGCAAGGGAATTTTAAAAGATATTTTTAGTAAAAAAAGTGCGCCTTATATGCTGTCAAATACGTTAATTTAAAATAGATGCATTTTCAATACAAAGTTCACCAAATGTAGTCTTGTGATTTTAGTTTAGTGTGAAGAACCTCAATCAACGTTTTAATTTGATGTTACGTGTAGTTTTCATCATACAATGAGTGGACCTTAGTTTTGCAAGAATGATAAAGGTGAATTGGAGACGTTGTCATTCCAAGATTGGTTGCTTTCTTAGTCTAGCCCTTAAAAATGGGCATGTTACGTTAGATCTTCGGAAATGGAATCATTTTGGGTCACAGTGACAGTAAATGAATAACTGTCTTATCAGCACGAGACGTCTTCCTCTTTAAAAGAGAATGTCTACACCCCAATCACCCACGGCTATTTGATGCTTTGTAGCAGAGCAAAACACATACAATTTGTGAAATCAGTCAAGAAATTTTAGGTAATTTTATGAACAATCCTCTCTTCAGAAAAAGTTACTGTATTGTTAATAAAGAACAATATTTAAGATTGATTGATTGATTTGTTTTTTTACGGTTTATCAACCTTTGGCCGGTTATTTAAAGCCAAAAAATATTTTCAGATTTGTGGAGATCATAATGATTTACTGATAGAAGTCCTACTAATTAACTGCTGCCGGATGTAGTTTATCGTTTTGCCGCCTATTTATAGGAAAATTACCAAGAATACATATCATAAGAAAATTACTAACAATACACATCATAAGAAAATTACAAATTACCAAGAATACATATGATAAGAAAATTACCAGCAATACATATCATAAGAAAATTACCAACAATACATAAGAAAATTACTAACAATACACATCATAAGAAAATTACACATTACCAAGAATACATATGATAAGAAAATTACCAACAATACATAAGAAAATTACTAACAATACATATCATAATAAAATTGCTAACAATGCATATCATAAGAAAATTACCAACAATACATTTTATATGTACTTAAAGGCTTACAATTCCGTTCAAAATAATTGTGTTCAAAGTATTTAGATTTCGGCATTAAATAACCGATAGGAGTGTTGGTATGCCGTTAAACAAAATCAACCAAACAACCAATATAAAAGAACTCTTTCATGACATTAAACCATATAATATCCTACAATCTCTTAAAGAAATCAAACTTCACTGTCTCTTAGGAATTTGTGGTCTTGTTCTTATTCCAGTTCCCAAATCTAAGATCTATTTAGTGTATTTCTGTAATTCTCACTTTCTTGAATGTTACTTTTGCACATTTATCTAATCCAAAATCCATATCGCTCTCTTCACTGAAATATTTTACAGTATTGAGGATATCCTACAACTCAATATTGCCTTTCACAAAAAGTTGTTGTTGTTTTCATTATTATTATTATTATTATTATTATTATTATTATTATTATTATTATTATTATATTTCGTTTTCTGCTCTGGTCACAATATCCACCAGATCTGCTACATTTTATGATTTGTTTTTCTACCTCCCATAACATCATTAGCGTTACATGGACAAAGTTCTTAGTCTGTGGGCTGTACTTATTTTTTGTATTTCTCTTAAGCTGGGATTTCGAGAGCCTTTTTCAATGTGTTCTTGTGTTCCTTTTTTATCATTCCAAGCGCACCTACTATGACTGGTTCTATTGTTGTTTTTTTCAATTTCTACATTTTATTCTATTTTGATTTCCAAGTTTTTATACTTTGATAGTTTTTCAAATTCCTTGGTTGCTACGTTACAGTCCTCTGGTAAAACCATATCAATTAGTAGGCAAGTTTATTTTCTTTTCGGTTTTTGACAATTATGTCCGGCCTATTTGCTCCAATCTTCCTGCCTCTAAAGATGGTTCAATCCCATAGAATTGTGATGTCTTCTATTTCTGTAACCGGTGCTGGGTGATGTTCATACCACTGTTTATTAAAATCTTTTCCAAAATATTTGCATATTATCCAGTGTAAATATTCCTCCCCCTCTATCGTGACGAATTTTATATTCATTTGGCGCAAGTACAAAACATCCTGAAATTAGATGGTATAAGGTTTCAGGATGTTTGTCAGAGAATCTGCATTTTGGATTTACACTATTATGTATGACATTTGCCTGAAAGTTTCTAGTGAAAAGGCTTATTATTATTATTATTATTATTATTATTATTATTATTATTATTATTATTATTATTATTATTTCCTTTGATTTCTGGTGTGTACTCATTTCTTTCAGGATTCCGATCAAAGACCTAAGGTCAGAAATAGCATCATTACAATTTCCATCACATATATTTTACATAGATAAAGCCTTTGTCCCCATGAGAAAATTTTTTTGTATTTCTTT